GAAACACTAGCAAGCTAGTAACATAAAAAGTGAAAATTAGAGTTCAGCCTTGAACCACAATTATATTTGCAATTCCATGGGAGCAGGTTGTATATTTATGATATTTTCCCCCCAGCCCAAATGGCTACATTGCAAGTCAGTTGCTTCACTACAGCCAATTCTTGTATTGTACATGAGATGGTCTGTAACTCAACTGATAGACTGAACTCACTTTAAACAAACTTCCTGTACTCCTGGTTATGGCACTGAAGGGCGCAACTGAAAGTATAGAAAATATGTGAATAGTTTGTTATGTCCGCAGACCACTGCCAGGCACCAGCCAGAGGCAGCTAGAGCTTCAATCCCTAAAACAATAGGGACTAGGCTCCTGAACTGCAAGTAAGGAGCCAATAGGGACATTGGCAGGAAGTTCAAACCCACCAATAGAACCTAGGGGCGTCCCTCCCCAATTGTATAAAGTTGGCCACCCGGCCATTTTTTGTTCCATGTGTTAAGTACTAATAAACGTGTTATCTCTGATGTCGTGGTCTGCGTCCTGATGTATCAAACCCAGTACTTTTCAGTGGTGATGAAGGTGAAATCCGATGAGCGAGCCTGACTCCCCACCAGCGGCATCGAGCTTTGAGCAGGAGGAAGCCAGCATGCCCCGCACCGCTCTCCAGCAGCACTGCACCGCGTCAACTGGCTCCCCGCAACACTAGTGAGTCATGGCCGCCACTCACGGAAGCCTTGACAAGTTTGATCCCTCATGTCCTGAAGTTTGGGATTCATGGACGGATCAGTTGATGTGCTACATCGAGCTAAATGGATTCACAGATGCAGGAAAAAGAAGAGCCCTCCTCAGTTCCTGTGGAATCGACACCGTTCAGCTTGCCAAAAGTCTCCTAGTTCCCCGCGCCATCCTGGAGTGTTTGTTTGAGGAGATAATCGAAGCCCTCAATAACTGCTTCAGTCCAAAGCCGACCTTCCTGGCTAGATGGATGGAGTTCCAGGGATGAGTGCAGGCCCAAGGGGAATCAGCCGCAGCCTTTATGGCCATCCTGTGCGCACTCGCTGTGGACTGCTCCTTCCCCAAGGTGGGAGACAACCTCTTGACACAATTCGTGTGGGGACATACGAACGCCAAACTGCGGAGGAAGATGATCGGCAACCGTAAGATAACCCTGGAAGAGGCCTTGCAGCTCGCCAGCGCACACGAGGCATCACACAAGGAGTGCCCAACAGCTGCAGCACATCAGGTCATGACAGGATACAGCCCGGAGAACTCAGACGAGGAAGATGTCTGCCTCGTCCGGCAATCACGACACTGCCCACAGCAGGGGCCGCCGACCAGCAGTCATGCCGGTAAGGCCCCCAGCCTTTCCCAATGTGCCAGCTGTGGAGAGGCACATGAGAGGAAGATGTGCCATTTCCGGGGCGTGACCTGCCACACCTGCGGTAAGCAAGACATCTCACCCGAGTCTGCCGGTCCAAGGGCCCCCGGAACACACAGTCATCCACGCAGCCACGCCACCATGCCGCCACCGCACACGAGTGTGCCGCTGAGACCTCCAACCTCTACCACCTGACCAATCAGCCACTGCAGGTACTACGCCTCCCCAACCAGTCTGCCACCCCGAAGATCCAAGTACAAGTCCGGATCAAGGGGTCCCCCTGTTCCATGGAAGTGCACTCGGGGTCAGCAGCGTCCATCATATCCGTGGACACGCTGATCAGACTTTGCCCAACAGGGGGACCCCCTCTGCGGCCCTCACCCTTAAGCTTGGTGGATTTCCAGAGAAATCCCATTCCAATCAGGGGAGTCGGGACATTCCAGGTGCAATATCGAGACTTTGTGGGAAATCTGGATTTGGTGGTGGTAGAGGGTAACCTTGTAAGCCTTCTGGGCCGGGCCTGGTTCGAGGCCTTGGGTATCACCGTTGGAGGGGTTAAGAAATGCTTGCCTCAGGATTTTGGAGAGGTCTGCCGGGAATTTCCCGTGGTTTTTGACGGAGCTCTGGGATGTTACAAGGGTCCCCCGGTGTCATTACAGCTAGACCCTCAAGTAGCCCCCATCCGCCGGCGTTTCCACATGACGCCCCTCTCCTTGTGGCCAAAGATAGAAGCCGAACTGGACTGGCTGGTTGCTCAGGGCGTTCTTGAGCTGGTCTCACATTCTAGAGCTTCAATCCCTAAGACAATAGGGACTAGGCTCCTGAACTGCAAGTAAGGAGCCAATAGGGACATTGGTGGGAAGGTCAAACCTACCAATAGAACCTAGGGGGATCCCTCCCCAATTGTAGAAAGTTGGCCACCCGCCCGTTAGTTTTTTGTTCCATGTGTTAAGTACTAATAAATGCGTCTTCTCCGATGTCGTGGTCCACGTCCTGATGTAGCGAACCCAGTACTTTTCATAGTTTTCCCCCCTTCCTGAGAAATCCTAAAAATTGGTGGAAGCAATTCAGACTACCAGGCTTTGTCTGGTATGTGAATCAACATGGCACCAATTTATACAGCATGCCCAATCAGATGAGAAGCTCTGTATTATTTATTGGTAAATAGTCTTAGGGGGAGCCCAGTTGAACTGAAGATTTCTGGTTAGGTTTTAATAAAAGTTAAGTATAGGTGAGATTTTAGGTGTGTGTGTGTGTGTGTGGTGGGAGAAGGCTAGAGGGAGATTTCTTTCATACAAGATATTTATTTTGGGAACTGGGTAAGCAGGGAATGGGAGGGCATCTGATGATTTGCCCAGGCAAGAGCATGGGTTCAAGGAGGGTTGGCTTGCTGTGAGTTTTGCCACCCCTTTCCTGCCTGTTCGTCTCTCATATAGTTTGGCAAGCCAGTGGGAAGTGAGTTGATGATGTAATGAAATGTTGCCAGGAGAAGGGAAGCAGAAAGGGACTGCACTCAGGGATTCTGCCTGGTGATGGGAAGGGAACCATGCCACTGACAATCAGGGATTTCTTGTCTAATTTGGTCCTGTAATACTCCACCCAGTCTGGACTCTGAAGACAGGAAGTGCCTGAAGCAGGCCTCTGAATCTCCAAAACCTAGCCATATAAATATGTCCCTGGACTGATAGTAGAGTCAATGAGAGACTTTCTGAAGTTAAAATGCTGATGTTCAGCAATTGTTCAGAACAACATACGAGGAAGGCAAATGTTTTAGGCCAGGAAGGATGCATTTCAAGAGATGCTTGTCCTCTTTCTTCCCTTTTAAAAAACAAAACAGACCACTTGTGTTTTTTTTAAATGATGTTGAACCCTGTAGAGAGCATTATTACCAAGTAACAGCTCAATTGGTCACTAGATTGATTTCTTGTATCCTTCTGTTGAGCAGGATTTTTAAGTCACTCCATAAATCTAAATTGATTCACACTCAAGAGCTGTAATAATTCCTTGTGTGCAAACACATATTTCTTTAATACTGCTACTTGAACATACTGTGATATTAACCCTAGCATTGCAGAGCCAATACATCTGTTTGCTGATGTGACTCTTCCAGACGTTTAGAGGAATTTTCGTAGTACTTCTTACATACCCAGTCTTTAGCCTGTCTGGTCTATCTGGTATTTTTATGCTAAGACCTTGGAAAAGATTATCTAATCAACTATTATTTAAAAGGGGCTTACACATATTGCAGCTTAATACCCCAGAATGGAGAACTTTTGCTATGTCTAATTTTTGCACCTGCTCTTTCTGTTTTGGGGTGGTGAGCATCGATAACTAATGGCTCACTGCTTACTCTCAGATGTTCACAGTTCCAAACATGGAGGTATCCTTAGGTTCCAGAGTCCCATCTTTAATATGGGAGTGATATATAAAGAAGTATATGTGTGCCTGGTTGTAGTGATTGTCCCTCATGCACTGGATATAGCTCATAGTCTCACGCACTGGATAGTCTCATGCATTGGATAATCTCATGCACTGGATATAGCTACAAAAGCTTCTACAATCCTGTTGCTTGCTTACACATCTGCATCTTGTTTTGCTCATTGACTCAGAGATGATGTGATTTTTCCTTGTATTTAATTATGCTGGTCCCTCAGGGAAGTTCTTGGCACAAAAGCAGCTAATTTTCCTTCCTGTTTTCAAAAGCATTGACATCTCCAAGTCTAAAGTGTATTGATTACTTCAGCTTACCTTTAACACAGTGTTATTTAAATAAAGTCAAGTAGAAGTAGCTTGTGAAGAAAACTTAAGCTTATATGAAAAAAGACTGAGCTGCTAGCAGCAGGGCTTGATTTGTACCAGAGGTCAGTAGAGCTCTGTTCTGGCATCTTTTCCCCCGATGCCAGGGTTTAACCTTGGAAATTAGGAATAACTGAAAGCACTTTTGGGTAGGCGCAGGCTGCATTTTCTCCCCATGTCTGAGATTATTATGGAGACAGAGAATGATGTCTCCAGACAAACTTCATACCTGGAGTCTCACTTTCTGTAAAGCAAACCACTGGCTAGAAAGCATTTATTGAAGGGCTCATTTTTGCTGCCTTCCTTCCCTCTTGTTTCCTTGTCCAGTTGAGTTCTTATTCAATCTAGTTCTCATTTCACACAATTATCTTGTATAAAAATATGGCCACATGGACTTTTATGCAGTTTCCATCAGAGTGTTTTTTAGCCCTCTGGAAAGGATGGAGGTTGTGGTTCTGTGCCTAGGATGATTATGGGAGTTAAACCTTGGCCACGTGTCATTAGGGGCAGTCAAGTAGCTTCAGAATAATACCATTCCTATTGACAAAGGATGTAGCAGGTCAGTGGGTCAGATACAAACATTGTCCTCTGAAATGGCGTCAGCAGCCACGGGTTGGACCTGTGGCTACTGTAATGTATAATTTGCTTAGGGTTCCCCTAACACTAAAATCATCAGGCATAACCTATTGCACTGTGTTGTCCTACAATGCTACTTTGTCCTCACGTTGACACAGAGAGGATCTGAGTGGCAGAATCATTGCTCTCCTCACCTACATTCTGACCACCGCATTAACCAAGAAGCACCCTTTGTGTCCTGTGCATCTTATTCAGGTACTCCTTCCAGGATGAGGAAGACATGTTTATGGTGGTAGATCTGCTTCTTGGAGGTGACTTGCGTTACCACCTACAGCAAAATGTCCGTTTCCAAGAGGATGCTGTGAAACTCTTCATTTGTGAGCTGGCCTTAGCCCTGGACTACCTCCAAAGCAGATGCATTATTCACAGGTGAGCATGAGCTTGAAAGATTCATTAATATTTTTCACATGTACTAATTTTAACTTGATGAGCTTTCATGAACTTTGCCACCTATGTGTAGTGCCAAAGCATGATGGTGCTCATTGCCTGTTGTGGTTTGACAGACAGCACTAACTTGACTTATCAGCATAAAGGGAAGATGCTGGCTCCTTGAGATACTGTTTGATACATAAAGTGCTAGTAGAGTACACAATGTAATCCAATCTGCATAAATCAATGTATATGTAAGTTTTTCACCAACTATTCAAAATCATTTAAGAATTGCCCTTTTCACTATAATAAACCTCATTTTTTGTTCCTCTCTACTTCTGTAATTGAATAAGACAGATATATGCATTTCCTCTGGAGATTCTTTAATCCCAAAGAATGTTAGTTTACTCCCCCCCCAAGCCCCCCCCATAGTCTAGGTTAGGTTTATTTTTGCCATCACCATTGATGATTACAGTCAGAAGAAGAAGAGGAGTTGGTTTTATATCCCGCTCATCATTACCCGAAGGAGTCTTGGAGCGGTTTACATTCTCCTTCCTGTCCTCTCCCCACAACACACACCCTGTAAGATAGGTGGGGCTGAGAGAGCTCTGAGAGAACTACCCTTGAGAGAACAGTTCTGAGAGAACTGCGACCGACCCAAGGCCACCCAGCTGGTTTCATGTGAAGGAGTGCAGAATCAAACCCAGTTCCCCAGATTAGAGTCCGCCGCTCTTTAACCACTACACCAGGCTGGCTCTCATAAAGATCCAAATAAGTGTAATCACCAGTGAATCTCATACCTCAGTGGAAATGTTGCGCAGTGAGAGCCAGTGTAATGTAGTGGTTAGAGTGTTGGACTAGGATCTAGGAGACTCAAGCGCTCATCTCCATGGATGCTCACTGGGTGTCCCTGGGCCAGTCACATGCTCTCAGCTTAACCTATGTCACATGGTGGTTGTGAGGGTGAAATGGAGGAGGGGAGAACAATGTAAGCTAACTTGGGTCCCCTCTGAGGAGAAAGGTGGGGTAGAAACGGAGAAAATAAAATAAATCTTTTGGTCAGTTCAGGTGATAATGGAGACTTACAGGGCAACCCTAAATAGAGTGACACTTTTCTAAATCAACTGAGGTCACTGGGCTTAGAAGAGTGTAACCCTGCTTAAATTTTTCTATGCTAAATTTCCTCTGCTGAAGGTTTGACCCAGATTTGGGGATTCAATATTACCAAAAATGTTTTTACCTAATCAGATTTTATGTCTGTATCTTGCCTTCTTTGGGAGTAGTATTCACACACACAAAAAAAATTAAAATAAATTTACTCCCTTCAAAAATAACCCTGTGTGGGTACAAAAATGGTTACATTTTTCTCAAAATAAAACAAAAACAAAATACCCCACCTGCTTTCCCATTAGGAACCCAAAGCAGCTAATATTGTTCTTTTCTCCTCCATTCTGTTCTTACAACAGCCCTGTGAGGTAGATTAGGCTGAAGGTGTGTGACTGGCACAAGATCACCCATTGAACTTCCATTGGCAGAGTAGGGATTCACACCTGGGTCTCCCAGATCCTAGCCCAACACTTTAACCACCACAACAGCAGCTTATTGATCCGCCAGTTTATAGCTGTGCAAATTCATGTGGGGATGATTTTTAAAATCTATGGTTTTTTAAATGGTCTGTAATTGTAGATGATACTGTGCTAATAATATATCACTCAGGATGATGATTTGAAGTTTTATTTAAAATTCTTAATTCCATTTGATCTTGAGTTATAAAGTGAAGTATAAAAAATTGGAATGGATGAAATTAAATATGCAGACAGGTGAAGGATAAAATCACTAGAGAATATTGATACCCAGGAAATCTAACCTTGTTGGGTGTCTTGGGATCTGGTTGCAGGATATCTCAGTATAATCATATGAAGTTACAGCTGGAACTAACTAGTGAGATGCAATGCTGGTTGAATTTACTATTAACCTATGGACAGCCTTATTTAAAATGAACTTTACCTAGGATTTTATTTTTATGTATGAATGTTATTCTGATCTCTCATTTTCTTATAATAAGTGATGGGCGATCATAAGGAACTTTGTGTGGCAAAGTATGCAGCAACCTCTGTATGTAAACATAAACTGGAGGGCAATGGATAGGATTACTCAATAAGATTATATTGCTAAGCATCTAAATTTACTGTTATAGTGGATTGGTTTACTTTAGATAAGAAATTTTCTCTGAACAAGAATAATTTGGTCTGCCACTTATAATCAGACAGATATGAACACACAGACACTGTTTCATCACAAATTTTGTACCATTTATTTGTTGGACTGCTGTTCTTTCAGTATATTCAAACAAGAAGTATAGTACTTTGTTGCAAAAGTATTTTTTTGGTTCAAAACCAAAGCACTTTTTGAAATAATAATTATTTCAAATACATGAGAATGGAAATAATATTGAATAGAAACAATATTAAATGCACAATTATTGATATAAATGATAAATCAGTATTAGATCAAGTAGAAATTGATTTGGAAAAATGGATTTCTGCAATTGTTTGGTACAAGTATAGAGGCGTTTCATTGGTTTTAACCCTCATACAATTGAAATACTGCTTCATGTATTAAAGCCATGTCCTCATATTGTGAGATGATGTGTTACAGGATTCCACACGGCACAAAGATTGGATCCTAAGCCGTACAAGTAGAGGTGTACTAGAAGAAGGCTACTTCCCTTCCCCCCCACCTTTCATGACCCCCACATTGTTCTCCCAATGGCCTACAGTCTGGCAGCACTCAATATACATTCTAGTTACAAAAAAGGAGACATCAAAAACTGCAGCAATGATCAAACCATCATATATTATCCACACAAGCAAAGAGATGTCCCAGTTTTTACAACAAAGGCTCTTACCATATATGGAATAAGAAGTGCCAGATGTTCAAGCTGGACTCAGAGAAGGGGGACTAGAGATCATATTGTAAATTAACAGTTTGTTTATTGGAACGCGCCAGAGAATTTCAGAAGAGAATCCGTTTGCTTGACACAGAGAGTACTCCACCTTTCTGTGGTATACCTCTGAGGATGCCAGTCACAGCTGCTGGTGAAACGTCAGGTCCTATAATGCCAAGACAGCGACCATGCAGCCCGGAAAATCCACAACAACTAAAGAGATGGATTGACTCAATCAAGGAAACCACAGCCTTCCATTTGCAAGATATGAACAAGGCTGTTAATGGCAGGACGTTTTGGAGGTCATTAATTCATAGGGTTACCTTACATTGGAAGCGACTTGATGGCACATAGCATACACATTGTACTCTTGTGGGTCAATGAACCTGCAGGAGTAGTGTGGATTAAAAATGGGAAGTCTGCAGCAGTTTGGGGGAATCAGCAAAAAAATCTTCCTCTCATCTGGAGACAGAAAAGCTGTTCCATCAAAGGAGATGGTGGTAACCCCAATGGAGTGGCATCATACAATCCAAGTTCATGTTATTAGTTATTTGAATAATATATATAATTTATTTTATTTATATTTATTTATTTATATTATAATTTATTTCCTGCCCTACCTCGGCAGAGCAGGCTCAGGGCGGCTTACACAAAATAAAATACAGATTAAAACAATCAAATCACCAAAGCCATTAAAACCATTCATTAAAACAATACAGTATTAAATATTGAAGTGTTAGTGATGTTATTCCAATATCATAACAATGGCGTTGTTGCGTGAGTTCATACCATATGGTATTCATTTCCAGCACTGATCTTACTCGGCGCGCACAGGCTGTCAATAATTCACCAGGAACGGTAAGGTGACAGCAAGTGTGTGTGTGTGTGTGTATTATGTGCCATCAAGTCACTTCCTATTTACAGCAACCCTATGAATAAGTATACTCCAAAAAATCCTATTGTTAACAGCCTTGCTCAGGACTTGAATACTGAGGGCCGTAGCTTCCTTAATTAAGTCAGTCCATCTCATGTTGGGTTTTCCTCTTTTCCTGCTACCACTTTTCCTAGCATTATTGTCTTTTCTCCGGTGGTCCAGGAGTGGGGCACTCCTTGATTCCTTACTCCTGGGAAAGCACCTCCCCCTTCCGTAGGCAGGGCCGGCAAACTTTGATCCCAGAGGGGAGGGGCTTATCTTCTGATCCCCAGTCTTACCGGCCCTGCCTTCTGAGCTGGATGTGCTGGCTGTGCTCTGAAGAGCACGAAGATCCCAGAAGACACTGGAAAGTCAGAAGAAGAAGCAGAGACCTAAAGGGCAATGGGAGAAGGTACTTACCTTCCAGCCCTAAAACATATTCGAGAGCTGCAGGCCTTGAATTACAATGGATCTGGCGCCGGCAGTCCTGGGAGGCTCCCAGACGGTCGCAACACCGAGAGGAAAGCCTCGGACCCCGCTGGGAAGGCGGCGGTAAACTGCTTCCCCCCCCCCAATCCAGCCACGGCGGCGTGCAGCAGTTTTGGGGACAGACACTCAGTGAAGAGCCTGGGGAGAGCAGAGGCAAGAGAGGCAGCCGAGGGTGGTGCAGAATCTCTGTCGCCGTCCCTTTCGGCATTGGAATGGAGCCCCCTCCTTGTTCCAGATCGTGGCGAGGAGGGACGTGTCTCTTGCACAGTCTACCCGGGAGGCTGAACCACGGTAGGACTGTATCCATTGAGAACTGGCAAGGTGTGGAGGGGGAGAGAGAAAGAGGATTACCCCCCTCCTCCAGTTTTCTTTTCCCCGCCCTTTACTCCTTTCCTCTGGATCTGGATGGGAGGTTCTTTAAAAGGACGAATTGCTTCTGGTCCATGGGTCAGGTCTCTAGCAGGGACATTTTACAGTCCTTATTGCTGGGCCTTCGGGAAAGGGAGCAACAACAGACAGCC